GGCTCCGGCCTCGGCCGCACCCCCGACGACACGCCGCAGCCGCCTCCCCCGAGCCGACTAGTCTGCGAGGGCGGCGACCAGCCCGGCTTATTTAAAAGGGGTGGGGACCCAAGCAACGCTACGAGCCGCAGCCACTGCCGGCCGAGAGCGCGGCTGGAGCTCCTCCTCCTTCCGCCGCCGCCTCCGGACTGAGAGCCGCTAACCGGAACGCGTCCTGCGGTCACCTGGGTTTCCGAGAACCAATCACAGTCGGAGTTCTTTCCGCGAGCCCGCCCATCGCCCCGGCACGTGACTCACAATGCCCCGCCCCGTCCCGCCTGCTGGTCCTGGTGTCCGGCACTCGAGTTTCCATTCATCGTCCGCTGAGCGGAGCTTTCCCGGCCCGCGGCCGGCGCCGGAGCGCGTGCGCCGGTTCCAGGCTACCCCAGCGCCGGGGCTCGGTGGAAAGTTCCTGCAGATGTCAGCAGCGCGGAGTCTCCTAGTCGGACAGCTTTGATTTCCTCGTTGAACTTTATTACACGCCGTCTGTGGACGGTGGTGTCGTTCGTCTTCAAATAATCTAAATAACCGAACACGCCTGCCTTACCAGGGTTAAGTCTTCCCCTGTAATCCGATCGTGCCATCCCTGGGGCTGGGAGCGCCCTCAGGACTCGGGGACACGTCACCCGGCTCACCTCTCCACTTCCCCTTCTGTAGAGATCAAACTGGTCCCACCTCGACTTCAACACACCGAGTCAACGGCTCCTTTTTCTCGTTTCTATTTTTTCTTCTAGTGGCAAAGGACTTCCATATTTCCCTGTTTAAACACACACATACACACACGGGTAGTTGTACAAAGGAGGTTCGATTCCTTTACTCCGGTGATGAGCACAATGCATCTGGATGTCAGTCACCCCTTTCATCGTCTCCCCATCTTTCCCCCTTCCATCCCTACCCTCACGTTATGTAGTTCAATGTTTACATAATGTACATTGACTATAATGACTGCAGATGTCCCCTCTTAACAAGGCAGAAAGTGCCATTTTCTGCTGTGAAACTGGAAAAAGAAGAAAGGAAAAAGAAAATGAACGGTCCTAAATTGATGAAGACACAACACTTAGCAAGCACTTTATGCCTGATACTTTTCCAAGAGAGGTAGTTATTTAACTTTCAAAAGCAATGTCAGCCAGACATTTCTGGTTCAAGCCTGTTATCTTAGCTACTCAGTAGACTGAGATCTGAAGATCCTGGTTCAAAGCCAGCCCGAAAAGGGAAATCCATGAGACTCTTATCTCCAATTAACCACAAAAATAAAACAAAACAACAAAACCAGAAATGGCTCAAAGTGGTAGAGCCAGCCCTTGAGTACAAAAGCTCAGGGGACATTGCCTAGGCCCTGACTTCAAACCCCAGGACTGGCACGCCGGGGCACACACACACACACACAGAGCAATCCATCTGACATCTTACAGATTTTACAGAGGGAAGAACTTGAAATGCAGAAGTTAGGTAACAAGCATCACATGACTGGAGAGTACAGTCAGTCTAGTCTGAATTCCCAGCAGTCTAGATTCGCCAAAGCACCTTATCCTTATTATTTGAAAATAAAGTGACAGAATGTTAGTGGATTTTGCTTTTATTTATTATTAACTATATTCTATCCCTACCAGAGGGGTTACCGTTTTATAAATTGGTAATGAGTACATTTCTTTTTGGACAATCTCACTCTGTTTTTCCCTCTTGTTCCTGCCCACAAGTTGTATAATTTATTTTCAACATAGTATCTACGGGGTACCACTGCTACATTTGTCCACCCATTTGTTCCTCCATTTACCTCTCCTGATAGATAAATAAACAATAAGACAAAAAGAAAAGAAAAAAATTCATAACTATTTTCTGGAGTTCATTTTAATAAATATTATTTTATATGATTATTGTATTCCTCCCCTAAAAGTCTCCTCCTTTGGTCTCACTGTATGTGAATGCCTAGACATTAGTGAATTTTGCTTGTTTGCCTTTGTTTTTGTTAGGAAGAACAATTTTTTCTTTTTTTTTTTTTTGTCGGTCGTGGGGCTTGAACTCTAGGCCTGGGCGCTGTCCCTCAGCTCTTCAGCTCAAGGCGAGTGTTCTACCACTTGAGCTACAGCACCACTTCCGGTTTTCTGGTGGTTTATTGGAGATAGGAGTCTCACGGTCTTTCCTGCCCGGGCTGGCTTTGAACCGCGATCCTCAGATCTCAGCCTCCTAAGTAGCTAGGATTACAGGCGTGAGCCACCAGCGCGGTGCAGAGGAATAATCTTTTCATGTAGACTTTAAGTTGACTTCTCTTGAATCAACCTTCATCTAGTTTCGGCACTATAAGTGTGAAACAGTTCCAACCAATCCTCTGTTAGTTACATGAGAAAGTGAAGATTTAGAATGTCCAATTTTCTGAGGTCACATTGTTGGACCATGCTTGATCCTAGGATGCAAGTTGAGCACTGTCTGACCCCAAATGAGATGCTGAAATTAGTGAAACCAGACACTGAGGAGTTGAGAAGTAACTATGACATACATACACTGTACAACGATGAGGGATACAAGGAAAGATGACCAGTTAAGAGATCACAGTCACCCAGGAAAAGAGAGAGGGTTCAGACTAAAGGCAGCAGTAGTGACTATGGTTCTGATTTGGGAGACCAGGTAAGTAGCAGTGCCTCCCACTCAGAAAATGAAGGAAGAGGAATAGGTTTGGGAATCAAAGTTTTTAAACTCTACTCTAGAAATTGAGTTTTCAGAGTTGGATATAAACCTCTGTTGTCTAAATCCATTTTATAGCATCCCAGTGTATGCTTTCAAAAAGAGCACACATACTAAAACAAAAAAAAAATGGGTGGTGGGGAAATTAATTCACACGGTAAGAATATTACATTTGTTTTAGTGATTACTTTCATGGAACAACTTGGACTCTATGGCATTTTCCAAAACAGTTATCTGGTGTAAAATGAAATTGTTAAACAAAAACAGTAGTTAAAATTGCACATAGATAGTAACTGAATTCAGTAGCTTCCTCAGTAGCTATGATTACAGGCGTGAGCCACCAGCCCCCAAATACCCCCTAATACCTAATCTAAATAGATGCAACACTGTATTGTCTTTTGTGTACAGTCAAGAAAATGCTTATGTTCAGTACAGATGCAATTCTGTCTATACTAAACCCACAGCTATAGAGATATGCTGCACTATCTCTCAGATGTGACTGAATTAAAGATAAATTTGAGAAAAGCCCAAAGAACTCATATACAAACAAGTTTATTACAACAGTGAAAAATTGGACTTATTTCCTCCAAAATAGTTTGAAGAAATAGCAAGGACTTTTAAAGAAGAGTTAAAAGAAATAAAGAGGAAAATGATAGGTAAAATGCCTTGTATGAACTTCTGCAGACCCGTTAGCCATATAAGAGACCACAAAAAGGACCAGAGGGAACACTCACCTTTTAATAGGAAGGAAAGGACACTTCAAAAGCAAGGAAGCAGGGATGATTAATTTTTAATTTAATTCTGTTTAAAAGGCAAGTAAAGCTTATGGACAAAAAATAGATAATATATTAAAACATGGGACACCACAGTGGAATGGAGAGTGTCATGTGGAGTTCAGGTTCAGTAATCAATATCTAGTTAAATCCTCAGACTCTAGTTATTGCATTCCATAATAATAATATTGTCTGAAGCCCTAAGAATGTCAGGCACCATTTTAGATGGTTTCTGTAGACAAGGTTATATCTAAGATCAATTACATAGTAGTGTTTGCAATAAACAATAGACATATACACAAATATAGGTATGCATGACCCTGAAAGTTAAACAATGTAAAATCTGTTAAGCAGAAAGATATTAGGAAGTGTTATGAGAAAGATTTGAAAATGATGTATTTGAAAGGAACATCGGGAAGCTTTAAAGAAAAAAATTCCTTTTGTTCTATGATAGTGGAAAAACAAGGAAAGAAAAGGAAAACAAATAGGGATTATGTGGTGGAATTAAACAAGAGCTTGTCTTGGTGAAAGAAACTAAGACTTTGTGTTTTGTTTTGTTTTGTTTTGGTCAGTCATGGGGCCTGAACTCTGGGCCCAGGCACTGTCCCTCAGCTCTTCAGCTCAAGGCTAGTGCTCTACAACTTAAGCCACAGCACCACTTCCGGCTTTTTCTGCTTATGTGGTGCTGAAGAATCGAAGCCAGGGCCTCATGCATGCAAGGCAAGCGCTCTACTACTGAGCCACCTTCCCAGCCCAAGACTTTGTTTTTATGGACATAAACACATTCATTTATCCTTTCAGTCAATATTCATTCAATAGCTGAGCATATTTAGCCATATAGTGGCTGGGTGCTAGAGATACCTCCTCTTCTCTACCTACCCTTCTCCCTCTATTTTTCTTTTCTTTTCTCCCCTCCCCTCCCTGCAGGGCTCTGTTGCCCATCACTCTCACCTTCATGGCCCAAGATGGCTACTGACTTCCAGCTATTGTATCTTCATTCCAGATAGCAGGGTAGAGGAAAGGGAGATTTCGTTTTAGAGTAGTCATAGAGTACAGTACGCACAGATATTACTAAGCTTAGTTTAAAGCTTAGTGATATGGCCATACCCAAGCTTTGAAGGAGGCTCAAC